TTTTTTATGGAAATTAGGCCATGAGAAATGTCACATGACTTGACGAGATCTCGCGTTACCGAAGGTATTTCCCAACGTTATGACATAGGCCGGCGAGATTTTAGTCACGTGGCATTGGAAGGCGGGGCTATCAAAAAACTAGAGTAAAACAGAGTAAGTTTGAAAAAATATGTTTTTAGTGATTGTATTAGTTGTTTGGGGCATGTTATGTATGTTCATCTTGTGCATAAAGAATAGATCTTTCGATCCATGTGCGACGTGTGTGAAAGTGACGATTTGTTTCTAAAATATCAGTTTGAACTGTGCTCCGGGCGCGGGTTGCATATTTCCCGCATATTATAGAGGGCCGGAGTTCTGACATTAATCGACGACAGACCGATATGAAAAAAGTCGATAAAACGTCAGAATAATTCAGACTAGTTAAACCTTTGGCCTACTTGTGACTACCAGTCTTGGGACCTTGTTCAACCTTTGACCTACTAGTGACTCTCGTTTATGAACCTAGTTTAACCTTTGACCTACAAGTGATGTTTAATCTAGAGATCTCTTTTAACCTTTGACCTGCTAGTGACTCCCCGTCCAGAGAACCTAAACTTTGACCTACCTGTGACTCCTGATCTATCGATCAAGGTTAACCTTTGACCTACCTGTAACTCCTGATCTATGGATCAAGGTTAACCTTTGGCCTACCTGTGATTCCTGATCTATGGATCAAGGTTAACCTTTGATCTACCTGTGACTCCTGATCTATGGATCAAGTTTAACCTTTGATCTACCTGTAACTCTCTATTTAAAGATTGAGTTTAACATGTGTCTCCTTCTCTAGAAATATAAGCTGACCTTAGAATCAGTTTTAGCCTTAGAAATAATTTGCAATCGTAACTCTAGTTCTATGAACCTAGCGTAACCTTTGACCCTTTGACTCCTACTTTGGTTGCTAACCTGTAACTCCTGATCTGGCAATAGGAACCAAGTGACACCTCTGACCTACCTGTGACTCCTGGTCAAGAAACCTATAGAGATCTGGTGGCATCATGTGGGCAATCTTCTCCAGGGTCTTGGAGTAGTTCATGAACACTTCCTTAATCTGTTCAAAAACAAATTCATTAATTTTTAACAACATTTTTAACTTCCACGGATAGCCTTACATACATAATATTCATAAGCCCCCCACCCCGTCTCTTTTAAATGTTTTTTCTCAAAACTAGAAAAAAAAATCAACTTAATTCAACAATAAGCTGAAAATTGCAATTATTATAATTAAATATAATCCTCAAAATTTCACTGGATCAAAGAAATTTTCTAATCCATGTACTTAAGTAATACTAAGTGGGAAACTGCAGTCACTGATAATTTGTCAAATAATGATGGGAAAATATAATGACAGCATAACTGACCAAATCCATACGATCATCTTCTGCCTTGGTCAGCTGTTGGTCAAGTTCCTCAATCCATTCCTGTCTAACTTTGGAGTTACCTTGAACTTCCTCCCAAAGGGCACGAAGACCATCCAGACTATAGGAGAGTATATCCTGTCAAAACATAAACAAACACATGTATATCTCCCCTCATCTATTATTTCAAAATGAGTCATATATTGGATTCATGCATAAAATCTTAATTTTCTACAATATGAAGCATAGCCTATAATGTTGCCAAACAAACTTCATTTATACAAAGTATGATCACCTTTCCCATTAATGTTTCAGACCAAATATGGTTACAATTTATGTAGTTCTTTAGGAGAAGTAGGTCTTTTGAAGGCTGAAATTCACCAATTTTCCATTACGTTATACAAACTTTTTTTCTCACATATACTTCACAGGGTGATCCCGTTGTTGCTAGGGAAAAGATAACTCTATCTTACACGGGGTAGGGAAAGACAGCTGACACGCGCTATGATGTCATAATAATTGATTGTCGATGTGACGTCATTTTATTGTTTCTGTGATGTCATACAATTGTTGTGAATGGGGAATTATCCGTCTCAACCCTAGGGCTTTGGGGTTTGCTGGAAGAATAAGATTGATGTTTATTTCGACTGGAATTTGATTATTTGTATGTATGTGAGAAAAATAATCAAACATCGGTCTGTTCCATAGACTCTGTTCCATAGACATAAATATCTCAACCCTTGTGTAAGAGTTTGGCTGGCCAGCACTCGGCAAGCCTTGTGCTGACCAGCCAAACTCTTACACTGGGGTTGAGATATCCCTGTCCACGGAACAGACCCATGTAAGATTCTATTAATCCATCATCTAGCAACTGTCATCCCTCAACTTTTTCCATTTAAACAATACTCCTCCTGAATGACTGATGAGATTTCAATGAAAGTTGCTGTGTTGTATCCTTTGGACTCTCTGAGAGATTATCATGAGACCTAAGACTGCGATTCACTTACCTCATCTGTGCTGATTTTGGCGAGGATTCTCGCTATGTCTTTGTCATTATCATGCAGTTTTTCCAGCAGAAAGTCACTGCATTCTGTGATCCGAGGCTCAAGGTTCTGGAAAACATTACAAAAAGGCCAGATAACAGAGTGAATAAAACTTGGATATAATGTAAGATGTAACAGAATCAACTGTCTATCTGGAGCAAGATTTAATCATAGACATCAGTCAGCCTGAATTTTACTTAACACATATAATGATTTAATAGTGATTCCATCATTTGATGTGAAATCAGTAAAATATCTACAATTTGACAGCATTGTAGCTGTATCATATATATTTGAGGTCCCCTTTTCTGTTTTTCTAGCTATTTTTTTATGGGGGTCCCTTGATGCACCTCCAAACTAACCCCTTTACAACACCAACATTTCTCTGGACATATGGTGGCAATACAAAAAGGTTTCACTGTATCTAAGTAGCAATCTTACATCATTGATGACACTGAGTTCCTGGTGCATGTCTTCTACTGCCTCTTCATGTCTGAAAAAAAAGTAGGGTTATTTGTATTAAAAAATTGAGAACACTTAATTAATGTGATAATCTTTCCTGTAATTGATTTAGATATTGACAACACAATTCTATTATTTTATGTAAGATAATTTACCTTTGTCTTCTACTTGAGGCAATTCTATCAATAATGTCTGATCCCTGTTTAGTCGGCACTGAAAAGAAACAAATGGAGGTTACGTATATGCTGTATGCTATGTTAGCAATTAATTACTTCACCAAAATTATTATCATTGAAAGTATAGAGGCTCTCAAAATACCACATCTGCATACATGTTTCCAAATCACAATAATACATGAAATACAATATTATGATTAAGAAATATTGAATATATTGTTAATGTTAGCAGAACTATTTTGTTTGGTGACCTGTAACTGCTGGTAGACTTTCAAGTGGGGTTATCTCCCTTGTAATGCCAATAATGGATGATGTGTCATACATCTACTGGTGCTTGTTATGTAACAATCCAACAATAGCAAGGGCAGATCACTCTTGAACAACAATCAATACCACAATAGCCAGGAGCAAGTAACTCTGTATTGTTAGCAACTGGACTAAGGGGAGATAACTTCCAATTCCAATTCTATGTCAATAGAAGGGGCACATAACCCACTAAATGAATTGTTACTAGTGACACCCATTGAATAGCTTTGAAAATCTATTACATTTGGAAAGTTTTATGATACAAAGTAAAAAATGTATAATTAACAAAAATGGTTTATTAATGCAAATTTGAATATGACATATATACAATCAATGTAATTTGTTTTGGTCAAGGCTCAGGAATGTTCATTTGTTTTGATGAACTGAAATAAACTTCTTTTTTTTATTTTATTTTTTATTTTAATAAGTAAACAATATACATTCTGTTATCACTTAACATACCAACATCCTCTGGTAAACCACTGACTTCTTTTTCAGCAGCTGTTCCATCCAATTCCCTAATTGTGGCATTCACAAATTCTGAGTACTGTCTGTGAATTAAATAAAAGGTACAAATAATGAATAAAAAAACACATTAATTTAATCAGAACAGACATTCTGTGTGTTAACAAAAAAAAATTAACGCAGCTATATATATATAGTCAGTCATGAGCGTTAAATAGATGTATCCATTTTAAGTCATCAATTTGGAACTTACTTGTGTAAAACTGGATTTTCAACATAAGGATCATTTGGAAATCCATCTGCCCATGTACGTTGTCGTTCTGTCAAAAGTCCATGTGTAACTTCATCTTTCTTAAGTCTCACTAGTGGAATGCCTACATTTGTACTCTGTCTGTCAAACGTCTTTTGTGTATCCTCTTGTTTCAGCTTTGTTAAAGTCCTAGTTAGCTGGACCTATGCAAAATTATTTTCAGAATGATTAGAAACAAATACATTTAATTGTTGTCAAATTATATTTGTATCTAAAAATCTACAGGTTTGATCATTTTGTTTGCAGTAAGCGGAATGTAACATATTACTCAAAGTGATGGATGCACTAAAAAATATGACAAGTTTATATTTAATAACAAATTGTATTGGGTTTTATTAACAATCACTTTTTAAAATGATTTATGAACTTTAGTTTATGTTTATAAGAGTATGACTTCAGCCTTTAGCTTTTCAAATTTCCTAATATTGTCAAAAAATCTTGTATTGCTGTATGATTTCATGCAAAAAACATCCTCCTAAAATAACAGATTATCATGCAGGAAAAAAAAAAAATGCAGCCGTTAAATTATAAGTGGTATAGAACATGCATATTTGAAAGTAGATACTCCAAAATATTTGCTTAAACAAACTGTACAACCTGCAATTGACAACACAGAGGGCAATAATCACAAACATAAGGGGTATCACATGGCCACATAAAGATGAATATTTTTTTTTATGATATTGCCAGTTTACAATTATATGACACAATCACCTAACATGAATAAAAAAGGAGTAAAATTCCATGCATACATTGTACAGTTTTAGGAAACCACTAAACTTGTATCATATATAATATTTTATTGCTTTCTGCAAAGACAATGGAAATCTGATATAGACATTTGTCAATGTTTGTATATCCACTAAAAATGTACAGGAGATTCAAGTTCTTTCAAATTTGTTACACTTTAGTGCCCATCATCATGATATAGCCTGTACAAATCTACCACAAACCAAGTGAGCAAAGAAATCTAAGCCTATATTCTGGAAGTAGGCAATCTATTTTCACCATATTAATACATCTTATATCTCCATTGCACCACTATAACTTAGCCAATGCATCATACAATATAACCACATCACCATTAAGGAGATCATTGCTTCAGATGTTACAGTCTTTGAGTACAGAAATATTAATAGACAGTATAACGGGAGGGAAACCTCATGCTTGTGATTGCCCTCAATTTTGATTACCATTGACCTCTTTGAGGAATATCATTGTTGCAAAATTACATATATATAATAGCTTATACACAAAATACATATTATGTATTAGCTGTTGTTATTGTTGGACTGTATTGTAGGACATTTCATTTTCCATCATGCTATACGATAGTTGTATATTATTTTTTTACTTTCGGCCTTGTGCAATTTCGTTAACTTAGAAATCGAGCGATACCTTCAAGCACATCATTAGTGCAAACATATTTAATCTGGTCTTATGGAAACGAAATATACCTGAGCATCAAACATTTGTCTGTAGACCTTGCCACTTGGCACAATTCTTACGGGTGGTGCCGTGTCTGCCATTTTTGAAATTTTGTGGCTATTGAAAATATTAAAAACACAATGTGCCTTAACTGAGATGGCCCAGTCGGGCTTATATTTCAACACTATGGATCGTTGATCATTGAAGTAGAGACATCAGTTAAAGAACGAATAATCCATATATATGGAATAACTTTCTGGTCGATGTAAACATCGACGCCATATTGCTTGGGAATCACCACAGCAACGTAAGTCAGTATATATTACAGAATAAATAGACATAAGTTTGTTACTTATAAAATAATAAATTTTAATGTTATTCAATTTTAACTTATTCATTCATAATCATAAAATAGTTTGCAAACGTAACATTGTTACTGATTTTAACATAAAATGTTATTGAACCTTTTCTATATTATTTTCTGTACATATAATTTGCTCATATAGTTCGTAAATTTACTTAACCAACCAGTGCCCGACTCAACACGAATAGTTTACGCCTTTGTTTCGTATTATACTTTAGAAGAAAGCTAGAAGGATTTGTACAAATTATTCAGGATTTGAAGCATGACATGAAAGAAACAACGAAAGATGGCAAGTGACATCGTCCGATTGCTTGGCTCTCTGTCATTATCAGACAATCCTATAGAAAAACTTGAGGAGTTAAAGACTGTGATATTTGCTATTCACCCTTCGGTACTCGCAAGTCACATTGGCAATCTTTCATTTCAGCAGTTGTTCTCATTATTGAACACAGAAAATGGGTAGGTACATAATGTGCAAAAATGAAAGTACACACATGGGGAGGGGATAGAGCAAATATATATCGGTGGGGAAAATGGGTCAATAATTAAACGTTCGGTCATGTGCGAATATGCTCCACATGGAGCCCGGCACATTTCTGGAAGAAGAAGATAATGTTGCACTCATTGACTTAATATTGATTAATGGAATCTTTCATTTCAAGTCCCCATACCGAAATCTGTCAAAATTAATTATATTTCTTTTCTTACCCTTGAGTGTCAAGCTCACTTATTGAAACCTGAACTTAATCAACAAACTCATATCTATGCATTAGCTACATTAGCATATATGTAAATTAGACAATTTGTCTTTTAATGAAAACCATAATGGGTTAAGCACGGAATATGTTTCGTTGCTTCTTTGATAATTTTATTGTAATTGTATTGAACGGCCGTTTAAATTATGAAATAACTGTGATATGAATTGCTGTTTTAGTAAGACCAACAATTGTTTTATGTACATTTATTTGCTGTGATACTACTTTGTCATTTAACTAACCAATTTTACTGACAGCTATATCTATAGGACCCTGTGGAAGATTAGCTTTGCTAAACAGGTTTTGTATCCTCAATAAATAAAGTTTATTATTATTATGCAATTAAAAAAAAAATCAAAACATCAAACATACTTTTTACATGTAAACATACTTTACAGACTCTCTTGTAATTTTCTGTGATAGGAGTTCCTCGGTTTCATAAAAAATAGAGCCAGCTTTTCATAAATTTCTCAAGTCTCAATAATTATCAGATATTTTAGTGCTTTTTAAAGTCACGTATGCGATTGATTGCAATTTTGCTTTTCATCCGTCCTCGTACATAAACAATGACATTTTCAACATCTTCTGAAAAACCATCAGTCAGATATTGAAGAATAAACTTGATGGTAATTATCAGCCTAAGATGGGGATCAGAATACTTAAGATGTAGCTGACAGAACACCCCCTTCCCCTTCCAGAAGGCTCATTAAAGGTCACAGAGTGCAAAAACCTTCAACAGACTTGCAGGTTGGTTCTGGCCAATTCTTATGCTACCCTTTACTAAGCTGACTCTCAAGGTCCTTTGGGCCCCTTGCTTCTGTTCCTGGTAGTAATAAACTAAAGAGTTATTCAGAATACAAATATATTCAACACAACCAAGAGAGTGACAGCAACCTTTTGTTTATTCCTGTATTTCAGGGACCAGTTGGAGCTGTGTTGTGATATCCTCTCTCGTCTACTGACGGCACTTGGCCCTCCAGCTGTCCTAAGCAATTTCTACACAGAACTTTCCCATGGCCTATCTCACAAAGCTATCTGTGTTCAGTGTCTCAGTCTTCAGCAGGTAAAGTAATATGTTCCTATTTTAAAGCTAAAGTCAAGATTAATGTCACAAACAGGTTTATTGAAAACTGTATTCATCAATTGTGTCATGTATTTTACTGATCTGCCTGCAAAGCATGTGTCTGAATGAGACACCAGCACTGGAATCTTTCAAACACAATATAAAATATAGGAATTAAGACAAGCCTAGTATAAGACCCAGGGGAAAATCCTGTCATTTGTTTAGTCAATATCAAAATTACGAAGGGCCATTCTATGTAAAATTCAAAGAAAATAGGAACATGGAGGGGTCAATTTCCGTTTTGAAGGGGTCAATGGCCCCATGGCCCCCTCTAGAATTATCCCTGACCTGGACCTAAGTAAGTATTAAGTAAATATAGTAACAACTATGTTCAAATGGATCCATTTAATGTTGAATATTGAATTTATGACCAGCAAATTTGTTTTAAGGTGAAAATGTGTTTATAGTTACAGCTTGTTAGTGAAGACAACCAGGCTTTGGAGGAATTGTTGAGACGAGATGATATTCTACACCAAATTATTAGACTTATTAGCTGCGACAGTGTAGATGTTTCCTCGAAGGCCATCAAGGTCATCTCCTGTCTTGGTAAGGGCATTGATTACCTATCACAGATAGACATCATCCTTGAGTATTCCATAGTACATCCATACTTGTGATAGCAAGGGTATTAAGATTATACTACATATTACCTAGGCTCTTACATTGGCATCAATGAACGTGTGGTACATCGTTTTCAAAGAACAATGTACCTCCATTTGGAGTCAAAACTAACATAATTGTTTAATGATCTACCGTTGAAGCTAAGGGGATATTCTTTCTAGCTGAGTTGGTAACAGACAACTAGATTGTTCACCAATTTGTATAAACAAATGTCAAGCTCAACCATTTTATAAATCATTCAGAAAAAAAATTCTGCAGTAAAACCTTGAGATTTCTGTTTTCATATTCGATTTATACAGACATAATGAACAGCTGTATTTTGTTGAAGGTCAGAGTGCCATGGGCCTAACTGCCCTGTATACCACCACACTGCTACAGACTCTACAGCAGGTGATGGACAGCAATGAGACTGTCCGCTTCAGGGTCTACGAGGTGAGTGGTGCATCACACTCATCAGTTTATTTCTGATGCTCTTTGATTAATCTGCAGACTGAATGTGTAAAACATGTTTCTGTCCTCTTCCCATTATGCAAAGATGTACTGTCATCCACATGGGTTTATTCATCTGGTCAAAATGTTGTTTGGGGAAGTAATAAAGATTTAAAGTGTAAAATCATGGTTGGGGCAAGGTTATTTTTGTATGATCTTGAGGAACGAATGAACCCAAATTTTTCTGTAATCCAAGTCTGTCACAATTCATTTTCCTTGTCAATTCCTTAGCTCTATAGTGCTAAAATTTTCATGAATTCTACTTTTTGAGATAAAAATGCTCTGACTTTAATTGGGTTCCCTCGGTCATACAGTATTCAAACTTTACACAGATTAATTAACAAACAAGAATTCTGGGATTTTTTTTTTTCAAACTTGAAGTCACCTTTACTTCAGATAAAATAAATTGATGTATTGTCTTGTTTTGCCAGCTCCTGGTGAAGATACGTCAGATGTCGGTTGTGTCCCTGGAGTACACATACGAGAGTGGCATGCTTCAACAGCTGCTAAACGAGGTGCACAAAGACGACATCCTACTCCAGCTAAACTGTATAGAGCTGTTGTCTGACCTAGCCCTGTCCGAACACTGCCTCGTCTTCCTCGACCAGCAGGGAATCATCAGCAAACTAGACAACATGATAGCCTCTGTAGAATCAGACCCAATGGCTGGTCTTCTACTCCCAGGTAATATCCTTAACAACGGCTTTGTCTTCATGGTTTCAAAGGTGTCATTGCCTTTTCAATGGGAGAAATATCATGACATTTATAATATCAATTAAAAGACTTTGCATTATAAATCTGAAAATCCTGTCCAGTTACCATTCATATTGAGTGTTCCGATTTTCATTTATAAAAAAAGTGCCGTTCATTTGTTGTTTCTATTGTTTATTAATCTATCGTGATGGCTCATAAGACTGCATGGAAATACTAATGACACATGATTAAATTCCATACTAATTTACCAAGTGAGCGCAAAAATAGTCTGAATTGCCAAGCTGAGCAAGGGTTTATGGCCATATCTTATCAGCAATCTGTTCGTTTCCGTGAAACCGCTTTGTTGGTATTTATATGATAATGAGGTATCTGCTATTTCCAGGTCTCATCAAGTTCTTTGGAGGCATGGCCAGGTTCCACCCAAAGGAAGTTTGTTCGGAAAAAAGTGTTTTTATGAACACTGTGCTAGACAATACCAGTAACTCAGCAATGGCAAGCATGGCTATCCAGACTGTGGGCTTCATTGGTAGTACACCCGAGGGCAAGGTGGCCCTCGACAAGTGGGGTGAGTTCTAATATGTACCCTTTTACATTTGATAAGCCTTGGACCTATTTCTTATAAAAGTGTTTAAATGAGAACTGGGCACATCCCCAAATGTGAGGCTTGATACTGTCAAATCTGTTTGAAAGTGGTTTCTTATAGCAGGTGGTCTCTTATAGCAGGTGGTCTCTTAATACAGATTTGTTTTACATGAAAATAACTGCAATGAGAATTTACCAAAGTGGTCTCATAACACATATGGTCTCTAAACTGAGGTGGTCACTTCAACAGATTTGACTGTATATGCAGAAATTGCTTCTTTCCAATTTCATAAGTAAAAATGAAAAGTTTTTCACAATTTTGTTCTCTTTCATTATAAATCCTCATTAACATTCCTGTAAACTCTTTATATAAAAGTTGTTACTGTATGTGTTGGTGTGATGTTTGTAGGTGGGAAGCTGTCAGCCTCTGTATCTGATATTGCAGCTGTGCTCAGGAGTGGCACAACAGAACTCAAGATCAATGCCTTACAGGCAGTGGAGAGACTGCTAACATTGAAGGTATGTGTGTCAGTTAGTGATAAACAGGAGGTGTGAAGGATGTTTCAAATAAAAAACAATTAAGAACCTTATTATATTACCTGTAATGAATTCTATTTTAAGTCAAATATGAAGCAAAAATTTAAACAGGCACATTCAAATAAAGAAAATGTGTAGTTGGGCTTCTTTTGCAAAATTTGAACCTCATGTATCTAGGGGTATACTGGAATCAGGGTGTCCCTCTGCCTGTGAACAGAAATCTTATCCGACACACCGCTGCTTGCCATCTTAACCAACTTTTATGAAACATTGTATAAATGATCGGTAGGTAAGGTAATTATGCACTTATGATTTATTTTTGATTTGGCAATCGTTTTGAAGCTATGCCCCTATTACAATGTGTGTTTATATTTTTTCCAAAATACTACTACATGTACTTACCTTCCTGATGATATCAATGAAACTTGGTACATGTGATTAGTACCTTAGGTAGTTCTACGATTCCAATTTTTACTTTTTAGGTCACCTGAGACGAAATCTCAAGTGACCTATTGCGATCGCCTTTTGTCCGGCGGCGCCTGGCTTCCGTCCGTAAACAATTTATATTTTCGACTTCTTCTCCAAAACCCCTGAACCAATTTCAATGAACTTTTGCAGAAACCTTCCATGGCCAAAGGTCAACTAAAATTGAGAATTACATGGTCCTCAGCCCCCAGGGGTGGGGCCAAAAAGAGTAAAATTGACTAAAATTTCAAAAATCTTCTTCTCAAGATCCACATATGGTAGACTCAAATACTCTTCATAGATAGAAGGGTCTTAAGGTGCTTTACTGAAATTGTGAATTTCTTGACCCTGGGGTCTCACGTTTCCCCCTGGGGAGGGGGTAAACTTTACTATAGTTTATATAGGGAAATCACATTTTGGACCAACATTTGTTTAATTGCCATTGGAAGTAATTCAATTTAGGTTAGCATTATCAGTATTGGGTAGCAGTTTGATAGTATGCACATATCAGCCCTGACTGACCCCCGGGGCTGATGGGTGGGTCCAAAAAGGGTCGAATTGACTGAAATTTCAAAAATCTTCTTCTCAAGGCCCGGATATGGTAGAATCAAAATTTGTTATGGTTTATAATTGCAAATGATACTTTCAATATTACATGTTGATAACTTGATTGGAATTATAACCCTAAACATTTTGAGCCTTCCCTACCCCCAAGGGCTGTAGGGTGGGGCCCAATGGAGTCTGTACATGTGTGCTAAAAAAATAAATCTTCATTTTCCTTGTTTAGAATCAGAGGTGCTAGTTTTAAATACTTTTCAGTCTTAAATCTGCATGCTAGATATTGAATAAGGTGGTTTTATTGTTTTTTGTCACTTTGAATAATATTTCTGTTCATTTTAAAAACAAATATCAACTCTCTGTATAAATATATCAGGTGACCGTTAAGGCCCATGGGCCTCTTGTTTATTATTATTATTGGAGTTAAACATATATATACTTCTGGTTCCTGTCTTTCTTTTCTTCCTTAAAAAATCCTCCATACGATGTAAGTTTCCCTTGATACATCCCTTAAACTTTTTATATTGCCAAAATGCTTTTCGACATATAGTGGCAGTGTAACAAAATTTTACTCCATGTATGTTGTGTTCCTTATATGTCCTGTTGTGTACTGTAATAGGTGGAGGACCAGACGACAGAGTTACTGGCCCTGACAGAAAAGTGGTTTAACCTTCTGGGTCGTGAACCTTTGAGGACAATACTGGAGATCACCCAGCAGCCATTCACAGATCTCCGTTGTGTAGCCTACCAGGTTTTTGTTGCCATGGCGACACAACAGTGGGCCCAGGAGTGTATGAACAAGTTCCCAGGTCTAACAGAGTTTCTGTTGGACAGACTGACAGAGTCCACAAAGGAGGGCAAGGACGCCAAACATGCACTGGTCAAAACGCTTGCTGAATCACCATTCGCTGCAAACAGTTTTGGAAATCCTTTTTATGTGAAATTAAAAGCCTATTGTGTTCAAGGACCATACTTTTTACGGGCTCAGGCCGAAGTTGCAATGGAGGGAGAATAGCTTTCTTTAGGTCCTTCACAGTTTATTATGATATATACACATTGTTACCTGGTTAGGGTAGTTTTATTAATGGATGACCTACACAAGGACTACAAACAACATCATAAACATTTCAACACTGAATCTTTTCCCGGATTGATTTATTACATGTACATGTATATTACTGTATTCATATTCATTTCAGTGCTATTATCATTTTAGCACCTTTTACATTATATCTGGTGTGCTAAGTTTTGTACAGTGCTAAAAAAAGTTATATACATTGCAGGTATTTTCTGAAGATTTTAAATTCGTGAAGTATATAAGTGAAAGAGTTGGTGCACTATTTTATGATTGTGCTAATAGATCTTGAGTGCTCTAATATGACCGCTTTAATACTGTATATTGGGAAAGTTTTGCTGCAGTTTTCGCCCATGGTAATTAGGGCGAATTTTTATTACAGCGAACATTAGTTAACAACATCATGTGCATAGTAATTCAATGTGACAGCAAAATTAACAACCGGCGAAGGGCGAAAGTTTTGCTGGGCGAAAATTTCCCAGTATGGAGGTTTATTAGGTATGTTAACAGTATAATGATTTAGGAAATCAGTAGCCACCATTGTCACTAGTGTTCCAGGGATCAGGAAGTTCCATGAGGATATGTCTACCCTATGCTGTGTACGTAGGTAGGTCAGTACAGTTACACTTCCATTATTACGCAATGTCATTTCTTCATTAGTTTTATAGCATGAGTCACCCAAGCAGATAGTGCTACATCAGATAAAGTCATTACCAGGGAGTACTGTTAAATACTACATGTAGTGTCTTCATTTTGAGGAATATTCTTTTCATGAATATTCTTCAAAAGACTTAAGTTATGAGGAATGGAATTCACATAGGACCACAAACAGCTGCTGTCCATATAGCCATAATATCTTTTAATTTTTGATCTTCTGCATTGGCGAATTAATGCAAAAATGTAATTTTGGCATATGTCCATCAATGACAGGTGGTATTATGGTACATGTATACCCTACACTGTGTCATCGCTCTTCTGCATATATTAATAGACATCTGCGGATGAAACTTGATGAAATTATTCCATACAAATACTTTGCTTTAACAAGTTCCTTTGTTCAATTTGATTCCAAAGTTTGTCTAGGGCATAGCTTCCTTAATATTTTACCTGCATTCTTCAAGTTTGCTATACTTATACACTAAGAGTTCCCTGTGAAAATGTATCAAAAATCTATATGATTTGAATGCAATGTCATTTGATGTTGATCAATTTTGTTACTTTTATCTTCAGTAACATGTGTAACAGGAAAGGGAGCAGGGAAAATGGAAATTCCCTCTAGCTGGAAGGTGACTGTAATCCTATGTACAATTAAATCTGCCACACTTCTCTAAACTTGTTTGCCCTCGAACACCATAACAACCCAGGTTCTAACTCCCTATCACCTCAGGGAGGCCACGTACACCATTTGTAACAAGAGAGTACCGGTAGTGTGCTTCCACTGGGGATCAAACCCAATACCCCTAACTTACCAGTCTGCTGCTCTACCAATTCAGCTAATAAATTCCCTCTAGCTCAAAACTAGAAGGCGAACATAATCCTATGTACAATTAAAATCAGTCATGCATACTTGTCCTTTGAAAACATAATAAACAGACAATTCCTTGTTTTTCCCTGATAAATGACAATTTAATTTTAACTCAGTGGATGAATACTTTTATATTTTTGTTTATGCTTCACTCTCAAATTATTTTTCCTACTGTATGCAGTATGTAAATGGTATTTATCAAAACAAAAGGTGAAAAAGAAGTGGTGACTAGACTATTCTATTAGTATGAAACTATGAGACATGTTTGAGATAGAGACATTGTGTATTGATTCTTAAATAAAGGTAATACATTTTGTGAAGTCTTTTTTTTATTTTTCCATTTTCATGATCCACGTTTGCTTTTCAAAGTTGGATTATTTCTACACTTTACAGTACATCAAAAGAAAGCTGACTAGCTTGTCACACCATTAGATTGATTGTATAACTACAAGCCAAACAGCATCTCTCACATAATACAATTATGATGAATGTTATATGTTAAGTATATTATTCAGAAAGTATTAAAGTCATTGGTCAGCCACACAGACTGCCAGGACCATGAAGATCCCAAAGTAATAACTTTTTAATTGTTATCGGGAGTCTCTGAAATAGGACAAAAACATTCAGATTACAGAGGGTAATCCTCTACATCTATGAAGGTGGTCCTCTTCATCTATGAGCATGATCCTCATTGACTGAGGCAGCTGATCTTCTTTGATTGTCTGTGAGGGTGATCCTCTTTGATTGACTGTGAGGGTGATCCTCTCTGATTGTAAGGGTGATCCTCTCTGATTGTGAGGGTGATCCTCTCTGATTGACTGTGAGGTTAATCCTCTCTGATTGACTGAGTGTGATCCCCTTTGATTGACAGTGAGGGTAATCCTCTCTGATTGAGTGTTAGGGTGATCCTCTCTGATTGTCTGTGAGGACTGAGGGTGATCCTCTCTGATTATCTGTGAGGATGATCTGCTCTAATTGACTGAGTGTGACCCTCTTTGATTGACTGTGAGGGTGATCCTCTCTGAATGTCTGTGAGGATGATCCTCTCTGATTGACTGAGTTTGACCCTCTTTGATTGACTGTGAGGGTGATCCTCTCTGATTGACTGTGAGGGTGATCCTCTCTGATTGTCTGTGAGGTGATCCTCTCTGATTGTCTTTGAGGGTGATCCTCTCTGATTGACTGAGGGTGATCCTCTTTGATTGTTTGTGAGTGTGATCCTCTTTACCTGTGAGCATGATCCTCATTGACTGTGAGGCAGCATATCTTCTTTGATTGTTTGTGAGTGCGAGCCTCTTTGATTGACTGTGAGGGTGAATCCCTCTCTGATTATCTGTGAGGGTGATCCTCTTTGGTTGACTGTAAGGGTGAATCCCTCTCTGATTGAGTGTGAGGGTGAATCCCTCTCTGACTGTGAGGGTGAATCCCTGTCTGATTGACTGTGAGGGTGAATCCCTCTCTGATTGACTTAAGGGTGAATCCCTCTCTTATTGACTGAGGGTGAATCCCTCTCTGATTTACTGTGAGGGTGAATCCCTCTCTGATTGCCTGAGGGTGAATCCCTCTCTGATTGACTTAAGGATGAATCCCTCTCTGATTGACTGAGGGGGAATCCCTCTCTGATTGACTGTGAGGGTGAATCCCTCTCTGATTGACTGTGAGGGTGAATCCTTCTCTGATTGACTTAAGGGTGAATCCCTCTCTGATTGACTGTGAGGGTGAATCCCTCTCTGATTGACTGAGGGTGATCCTCTTTGATTGTTTGTGAGGGTGACCCTCTTTGATTGACTGTGAGGATGAATCCTCTTTGATTGTGAGTGTAATCCTCTTTACATGTGAGCATGATCCTCATTGACTGTGAAGTTGAATCCCTCTCTGATTATCTGTGAGGGTGACCCATTTTGATTGACTGTGAGGGTGAATCCTCTTTGATTGTGAGTGTGATCCTCTTTGATTGTATGTGAGTGTAACCCTCTTTAATTGTCTGTAAGTGTGATCCTCTCTGATTGTGAGTGTAACCCTCTTTAATTATCTGTGAGTGTGATCCTCTTTGCCTGTGAGTGTGATCCTCTTTGATTATCTGTGAGTGTGATCCTCTCTGATTGTTAGTGAGTGTAACCCTCTTTAATTATCTGTGAGTGTGATCCTCTTTGCCTGTGATAGTGATCCTCTATGATTATCTGTGAGTGTAATCCGCTCTGATTGTTTGTGAGTGTAACCCTCTCTAATTATCTGTGAGTGTGATCCTCTCTGATTATCTGTGAGCGTAACCCTCTTTAATTATCTGTGAGTGTGATCCTCTTTGCCTGTGATAGTGATCCTCTTTGATTATCTGTGAGTGTGATCCCCTCTGATTGTTTGTGAGTGTAACCCTCTTTAATTGTCTGTGGGTGTGATCCTCTCTGATTGTTAGTGAGTGTAACCCTCTTTAATTATCTGTGTGTGTGGTCCTCTTTGCCTGTGATAGTGATCCTCTTTGATTATTTGTAAGTGTGATCCTCTCTGATTGTTTGTGAGTGTAACCCTCTTTAATTATCTGAGTATGATCCTCTTTGCCTGTGAATTAGTGATCCTCTTTGATTATCTGTGAGTGTGATCCTCTCTGATTGTTTGTGAGTGTAACCCTCTTTAATTATCTGCATATGATCCTCTTTGCCTGTGATAGTGATCTTCTCTGATTATCTGTGAGTGTGATCTTCTCTGATTATCTGTGAGTGTGATCTTCTCTCACTCACGATTATCTATGAGTGTGATCTTCTTTGATTATCTGTGAGTGTGATCCTCTTTGATTGTTTGTCAGTGTGACTCTTTGGTCGACTGTGAGGATGACCCTCTCTGATTTATCTGAGTATGATCCTCTTTGCCTGTGATAGTGATCTTCTTTGATTATCTGTGAGTGTAACCCTCTCTGATTTATCTGAGTATGATCCTCTTTGCCTGTGATAGTGATCCTCTTTGATTATCTGTGAGTGTGATCCTCTCTGATTGTTTGTCAGTGTGACTCTTTGATCGACTGTGAGGATGACCCTCTCTGATTTATGTGAGTGTGATCCTCTTTGATTGACTGTGGGGTGATTATTTCTTATTGTTTGGAGAGATGTATATATATTACAGAGATTGGTAACTTGTATTATATATACATATAATATATATGTTGTTTGTGAGCGTGACTCTGATTGACAGTGAGGATGACATTCTATGATTATGAGGGTGATCCTTTTTGATTGACTGTGAGGGTGATCCTCTTTAATTCACTGTGAAAATGATCCTAATTTATTGTTTGTGAGTGTTATCTTTTATTGTCTGTGAGCGTAAACCTCTGATTGACTGTTATCAATCGCTCCAAGGTTTGATTGTTTGTGAAGGTGATCCTCTTTTTCTGTATCGATGATCCTCTTTGATTGATTTTGAGGGTGATGCTGTTTGATTATGAGGGTGATCCACTTTGTCCGAGTAAGTGACCCTGTTTGACCCTGTTTTGATTGATTGTTAGGTTGAACATCTTTTCATATAAAAGTATTTGAATTTCCCGCTCACGGAATTCATTAGTAGACCAATTACGCATGCGTCAAAATGCTTAAATATCAACATCCGCTTAGTACCTCGTTCGGCGGTGAAATGTGGTTATGACAGTTTGCCTGCTATGGCAGGACTCCTCGGTTTCTTAGTCCATGTCGTGTCCGAGCTTCGGACACCGGTGGAGGAACGGAATGGCCGGAGAAGGGTCTGGGGGAGAGTTACAAGGTAAAATGCTTTTGTCGATACATCGAAGTGCATGCGTAGTAAATGATAACGGTGCCCGCGCTGCAGTGATCATCTTTCTGATCGGTTATTGACTAGTGGAGATCGATGAGACTATTTTAGACCTGCGCCACTACAACTTTTTGTCATCCAAGTTGGTTTCATAGTCTATGTAATATGATAAATTGTGTATAGTCAGTTTTTTCAATTGTGCTTTAATGGAGTTTCGGTTCCTTTCTTTATAATCAGATACTAGATAGGAACTACATGTGGAAATTTTCAAATTAATATTTACAGTACTGTCCTGTAGAGAGTAAGGTAGATGCTGCAGTCAACCGTGAAATTATATAAAGATTTAAGTTGTTTTATAATATTTTAATAGATCAGTCCATCCAGACTTGTATTTAATAGATGTAAAATAGTTTCATATAAAATATAGTGTTGTGATACATGTAATATTTAGTGAAATATATCATATTTAAAGTGTTTAAGGAAGTAACAATTTGGGGAAGGGGAAACTATGTAAGTTTCACTTCGATGGTCGAAAAGAAAAAATCTTTTCATTATGTATATCAGATGCATAGTGTATCTCATGCCTATTATTTCATTATTTCTGTGCAATTTGTTGTGCCTCATATTAATATAGTTGTTACCTGTCACACTATGAAATGTATATGAATACTCACTATAGATAAATATATTGAAGTGGGATACAGTCATACTTGACTATAAGGCTATATAGCTAGCTGGGCTCTATAAAATTAGTTATGAATATGTACTGTCATACAGCAGACCTTACAAATACTGCAGGTCATCTATGTGGATTAGATCATGACATACAAGTTAATGTACAGTACATGAAATGGAACTTTACCTGGTTTATGAAAAACTTCATCCTTTTATATTAAATTTATTTTTTATAATCAGCCGTCATTATTTAACATACACACTTGGACAACCATTGAAATATTTATGCGTGACATTGCAATGATTTGTGTGATATGTAGCTGTCACTTTCGACAGACAAATGACCAGTAAAGTGTATGATACACTTATAAATTAGTTCGTAGCAATGTATAGAAACTGACAATTGAATTGACAAATTGTTTTTGTTATATGCTAATTTACCATATGATATGTGTCAACATCTCAATTAGGAATAAACAATTAAAACAAAGTCTAATTTTCTTAATAAAGATGTCAGTGTTACCATCTAGTAAAAGCATAAGTATAAGGAAAGAACTTTGAAAGAATATAAAGCACAAAAGTTGTTATGCTTATCCACTTTCAGCTGTAAAAAAAATAGTGTATGTGTAGGAATTGATATGACAAGAAATATTGTCTTACAAAAAAACCGAAAGGTAAATACATGTATGAAGACAGCAATTCAGACCATTTCCTTGGAATAACCTTGGAGATAAGTAGAAGACGAGACTGCTTTTAATCACATGGCATGGAGATGGCAGCTTGTTTACTTTACTAGCAGCAAGAAGGCTTTTTCGGGGATATACAGTTTTTGTATTATAAGATTTGATGTAAGCATTAGTGGTAAAATTTGCAGATCTTCTTTGAGCATGAAACAAAGAAGAGCGAAGTGATCTGATAATACAGATTGATAAAGACAGGGTTTCAAACTTTCGCTGTGCTAGTTTAGAATTAACCAAAAATATAAAAGAAACCACTAAAAATAGCTTAATTATAAGTAGGGAATGTGGAAACCCAGATTTATGACATGCTTTAATTATCCATCTCATTAACAAATTACGACTGTTTTAATAAATAAAAACAGGAAAATGAATTTCCCCAAAATCTGATATGTCATGTGAACACATTAAGATAGATATATATATAGGTATACTAACTATTGTTCAGAATTTCACTTAAGCACCTTTGTCTAGAAGGCTTTTCTATTTTAATGTGACATCATTTCAGATTTAGCTCTCATTTTCATTATCATCCGTCAAATTTCTTTATGATACAACTTATCCTAGCTATGTTTTGAACATTATAACTGCTTTTTATCAGAGATTGTTTACTGTATGTCTATAGATAGACATTTATCTTCATGACTGATCAAATTATACCAATTGTTTGACAGTTATATTATCTAGGCATATCATTAGTGATACAGCCATATATATCAAATGATGTGGGCGTCAGGCTTTTGATCTGTGTGTCAGAGTTATGCATAAAACTTAATTTTGAAACAAGAATTTATCACTGGCACATATATTTGCATATTATATATGATACATATTTAGCAATGTACACCAATTACGACATCAGGGATATATCAATACCTCACTATAGGTGCAATAATTAAAATGTTGTTTTGTTTTCCCTTTTCCTACTTATAAACTGATAAGTAGCTTATAGGCTACTCAAACAGTTTTAACTAAACTGAATAACTGTAATTTTATTTTTCCTCAGCAATTGCTTTATCAGCAATGAGTACATTATCAGATGGTGGACTGTTTTTGTCTTTGGTCAGTCATGAGTGTCATATCAGTTATCACTCCTTAAACAGTTTTTGTTATCAGTATATTTTAGAAAATGCTGGATGGATCATTCTCAAATTTCATTTGTCAAGTATTGGTTTCTCTTGGTGCTTTGTTGTACATATTCAATTTTGAGACTGATTTCAAAAACAATTTGGCTGTCAGGTGGCCATCTTGAATTTGACTGTAAAAGCTTGTTTTTGGCTTGCTATTATTACTTATAATGTACATTGTACTGGATCAATCTTATTCAAAGTTCATATGAAGGTTCCCTTTGATCTTAATTTTACATGTCCAATTGTAGAACTGATCACAAAAGGAAGAATAAGGCAACCATCTCTATTGAGAGTGCTTTAACAAGTTGATTTCCGTTATAGTCAACAGGGGCTGGCAACAATAGATATGGAATACATTCCTGTAAACATATACAATGTATGTACTTGTGTATTTTAGCCCATCTGGCCCGAGAGACTGGTGAGCTTATATTATGCCATTGTGTGTTATCTGTCTGTCGTCATTAAACAATATTTTCTTAAGAACCGAAACAGTCATGATATTTGGCTGGTAGCCTTCTTGGATAAAGCCTGGCAAAGGTTGCAAACAAAAATGATCTTGACTTCTTTAAAGATCGGACAGTTTGGTCGAATATGTAAAAAAATATACAATTTCTTCTTAAGATCCGAAAGTCTTCAAGCTATATTAGGCTGGTAGCTTCCTGGGATGCAGCCTGACAAAGTTTGCAAACAAAGTTATTTTTGACCTTCTTTCAAGGTCATAGGGGTTAAATATATCAAAACTAAAACAATTTCTCTTAAAGAACCAAAGTTATATAATTAGCTACCTGGAATTAAGGCTGAAAAAGGTTTGGAAACAACTTCTCCTGAAGAACCAAAAGTCCTAATTCCTGACATTTGACTGGTAAATTCCTATAATTGAGCAAGACAAATATTGCGAAATTAAATTATACATGTTCAATATCGAAACTGATCTCACAAACAAGATGGCTGCTAGGCAGTCATCTTGGAATTTGACCATTTAAGTTTGTTATATTTCTCAGAAGGTACTGGAGGAATGGATTTCTCTTTCAATTTCTTTTCATTAGTCCTCTTGGTTCTTAGTTGTGCATGTTTTCCATTTTAGCTTGACTCGAAAGGAAATTGTAAGCTTGATCAAAAGATGGATGGCAGAAATAAAAGAATCGTCTTTGTTCTTTTTTGACATTACTTTTCTAGTCATAGACACTAAATGATTTATAATCTAATTTTGAAAAGACAGTGTCAAACACAGCAGTATGAATGATCTATCGACACATGATGCATTTACTGTTGACATGTCTTTATCTATCCAATAGGTAAGGGAACAAAAATCAAATTATTGAACTAATAAAAATCTGATGATGGTGGGTGGCGAGACATTCTGGCATCTCTTTTATTAATGTCTTACCCAACTACCCACCACACAAAGTCAGGGAAGTGAGAGAGAAAGGAGGTATTTCGAAATGTTGCTCTATGGATTCTGACGTATGTAGGGTATGATTTGCATAGACATGTCAGTGATTGTCAACACGGGCTTCATCTTCATGTTAATTAATCTACTACACCATTAAATTATTCACCGACACACTGTTTCGACAGACCTGGTGTTACATCTTTGATTTATTACAATCACAGACATGATATCTACTCTTAATTTAGATTTTTTATTCATCTTCATACAGTTATAAACAATAATTTGAAAGTACAATAGATTTTTTTTACATTTTTGACCCATCCTCTGCCATGTGGATAAGATGGTAATTTATAATGTGTCAGTTGTATTTTTGATTGCAAGTTTTATTCTTATTTTACTTTCAAATTTATTTATGGAAGTACATTGAACCTGGTATTGCGATTTGTTTTGTAATTACTTGCTGAGTAATATAAACATGTCATTTGGGTGACGGCCATATACATAACATAGATAACGTGAGGCGTTATATAAAGTAGCAGTCCGATGGACAGTCGTTACGCAATATACGTCGTAGTGATGTAACAGCAATAAAAGAAAAGGTATTTTAAATACATGTACCTTAATGATTAGCTACATATTATCATCTGATTAGAATATTTTATCAGTTTGATTTATAGCCCTGTATCAGTAATGGTGGCTGTATTGAAGTGACAGTTACATGACCTGAAAATTCTTAAAAATATTAATAATGAAACAGTTTGTTCACCTGATGTTATGAAATTTCATTCATGTATACAGATACATCTTGGGATGGCAGAGTTTCACCAAAGTTTTGGTCAGTGTGACCTATATTTTTACCTTGAAACTCCATCAAAAATGTTTCATTTCTGGGGAATATGGTCACTGTGACCTATATGGCATCATAATTGTTGTCCATATCACAGACATTCTATTGTTTCCAGTAAAAAATACATTAGAACTTTGTCCTCAGTGTTTTTTGAATTACATGTGAACCACCATATTATACTTGACATACTTTTTGACCTAAGAAGTCTGCCCAAGAGATTTAAAAAAATGAACATTTAATTGTATAATCCTGGAATCTGTCCATTCAAAATTGTATAAAGTTGTCTGGTTGAGTTTGTTAGCTAACCGACTCCATCATCAAAATTGCTCTGTTTCATCAGATCACACATGTTATTAAATGAAAACAAAAATTGCCATGGGACCTTATCAGCAGATACAGTAATCAATGCAATATTCCAGAATAATTTGGCAAATCATTAGCCCCTTTATTTAAATGGGGAGTTCAGCTTGAGAGTGGGATAAAAAAAACTTAATGGATTTGCTGCAGTGGGAAAGTAGTCCAAATAGGTGCAGGTATCCTGTTAGTGGGAAAGTGTCAAACTAAAGGTGTCACTTTCATAATTTACCCTTGTACAGCGCCCTTATATATATATATATATATATATATATATATATATGTGTGTGTGTGGTACTTCCCTTACAAGGGCCCGGGGTATTTCCTGAGATAAAGTTTGGTAAAAAAAGAAATAACAAAAAAAGTGACACGACTTAATTAGCCATGTTGTGGATGTATCTGTAGGGACCATGGTCATTGTGGATGTGTGTATTTATAGTTACTATAAATACACACATCCACGCTAACCATGGTCCCTACAGACACTGTCAGTATCTATAGTTACTATAAATACACACATCCACGCTAACCATGGTCCCTACAGACACTGTCAGTATCTATAGTTACTATAAATACACACAGCCACAATAACCATGGTCCTTACAGACACTGTCAGTAATTATAGTTACTATAAACACACATCCACAATAACCATGGTCTCTACACACACTGTCAGTAACTATAGTTACTGACAGTGTGTGTAGAGACCATGGTTATTGTGAATGTGTGTATTTATAGTAACTATAGTTACTGGCCTTGTCTGTAGAGACAATGGTTATTATGGATATGTGTATTTATAGTAGCTATAGTTACTGACATTGTGTGTAGGGACCATGGTTATTGTGGATGGGTGTATTTATAGTAACTATAAATACACACATCCACAATAACCATGGTCCTTACACACACTGTCAGTAACTATAGTTACTGACAGTGTGTGTAGGGACCATGGCTATTGTGGATGTGTTTATTTATAGTAACTATAGTGACTGACAGTGTCTGTAGGGACCATGGTTACCGTGGATGTGTGTGTTTATAGTAACTATAGTTACTGACAGTGTGTGTAAGGACCATGGTTATTGTGGATGTGTGTTTATAGTAACTATAATTACTGACAGTGTCTGTAAGGACCATGGTTATTGTGGCTGTGTGTATTTATAGTAACTATAGATACTGACAGTGTATGTAGGGACCATGGTTATTTTGGATATGTGTATTTATAGTAACTATAGTTACTGAAAGTGTGTGTAGGGACCATGGTTATTGTGGATGTGACTAGAGTTACAGACATTGTCTGTAGGGACCATGGTTATTGTGGATATGTGTATTTATAGTAACTATAGTTACTGAAAGTGTGTGTAGGGACCATGGTTATTGTGGATGTGACTAGAGTTACAGACATTGTCTGCAGGGACCATGGTTATTGTGGGTGGGTGTATTTATAGTAACTATAGATACTGACAGTGTCTGCAGGGACCATGGTTATTGTGGATGTGTATATGTATAGTAACTATAGTTACTGACAGTGTGTGTGGGGACCATGGTTATTGTGGATGTGTATATGTATAGTAACTATAGTTACTGACAGTGTGTGTGGGGACCATGGTTATTGTGGATGTGTATATGTATAGTAACTATAGTTACTGACAGTGTGTATAGGGACCATGGTTATTGTGGATGTGTGTATTTATAGTAACTATCGTTACTGACCTTGTCTGTAGGGCCCATGGTTATTGTGGATGTGTGTATTTATAGTAACTATAGTTACTGCCAGTGTGTGTAGGGACCATGGTTATTGTGGATGTGTGTATTTATAGTAACTATAGTTACTGAAAGTGTGTGTAGGGACCATGGTTATTGTGGATGTGACTAGAGTTACAGACATTGTCTGTAGGGACCATGGTTATTGTGGATGGGTGTATTTATAGTAACTATAGTTACTGACATTGTGTGTAGGGACCATGGTTATTGTGGATGTGACTAGAGTTACAGACATTGTCTGTAGGGACCATGGTTATTGTGGATATGTGTATTTATAGTAACTATAGTTACTGACAGTGTGTGTAGGGACCATGGTTATTGTGGATGTGACTAGAGTTACAGACATTGTCTGTAGGGACCATGGTTATTGTGGGTGGGTGTATTTATAGTAACTATAGATACTGACAGTGTCTGCAGGGACCATGGTTATTGTGGATGTGTATATTTATAGTAACTATAGTTACTGACAGTGTCTGTAGGGACCATGGTTATTGTGAATGTGTGTATTTATAGTAACTATAGTTACTGACCTTGTCTGTAGGGACCATGGTTATTGTTGATTTGTGTATTTATAGTAACTATAGTTACTGACCCTGTCTGTAGGGACCATGTTTATTGTGAATGTGTGTATTAATAGTAACTATAGTTACTGACAGTGTGTATAGGGACCATGGTTATTGTGGATGTGTGTATTTATAGTAACTATAGATACTGACAGTGTGTGTAGGGACAATGGTTAATGTGGATGTGTGTATTTTGGTAACTATATATACTGACAGTGTGTGTAGGGACCATGGTTATTGTGGATGTGTGTATTTTGGTAACTATAGATACTGACAATGTGTGTAGGGACCATGGTTATTGTGGATGTGTGTGTTTTGGTAACTATAGATACTGACGGTGTGTGTTGGGACCATGGTTATTGTGGATGTGTGTATTTTGGTAACTATAGATACTGACAGTGTCTGTGGGGACCATGGTTATTGTGGATGTGTGTTTATAGTAACTATAGTTACTGACCTTGTCTGTAGGGACCATGGTTATTGTGGATGTGTGTATTTATAGTAACTATAGTTACTGACCTTGTCTGTAGGGACCATGTGTATTTATAGTAACTATAGTTACTGACATTGTGTGTAGGGACCATGGTTATTGTTGATGTGTGTATTTATAGTAACTATAGTTACTGACCTTGTCTGTAGGGACCATGATTATTGTCGATGTGTGTATTTATAGTAACTATAGTTACTGACAGTGTGTGTAGGGACCATGGTTATTGTGGCTGTGTGTATTTATAGTAACTATAGATACTGACCTGGTCTGTAGGGACCATGTTTATTGTGGATGTGTGTATTTATAGTAACTATAGTTACTGACCTTGTCTGTAGGGACCATGGTTAATGTCGATGTGTGTATTTATAGTAACTATAGTGATATGCATGATATATTTCAGGGACTTACTGACAGTTTACAAACAGTATGCCTGTAGTAAGAACAGACTTCCTACATGCCGTCTTCGAGAAGCCTTCAATTCCCTCCACCTTTTTCCATCCAACTCACAGGGTATGTATAACCTCAATTAATAAAATGTCTCTTTGAACTAGAAAAAAAAACTATCGGTGGAGAAAAACAAATGCATTGCAACTTATTCATTTTGTCTCCACCCTCCCTCTTATTGAATAAGAGGAAACACATTGTATAAGGAACAGTTCTTCTTTTGGTTTTCCTTATATCTTCTTGTCCGGTATGTAACTTTTAAAGTATTAGATCTCATGATGATCTCGTAGTATACCAATGCATTATCTATGGATGGTGTGCAGTGCGATATAATTAGATCGCTGTCACCTTCACCTCTAGGTCAAATGTCAAATAAGTACAAGACTTTATAACTTTCAATCCATTAACCCTTTCACCACCTTAGACCATAATGGACCCATCACCATAAATGCATGGTAGAGTCTACTAAGGTACCTAAGGGTGAAAGAGTTAAGGTGCCTTGATACGTGTACCTGAAATTGAAATATACATCATGTATCTGCATCTCACAAAGAAGGTATGGAATGTGTTAGATCTCCATGGCCTTCATGTCCAGGTCCATAGTGAAATAAGTGCAAATCAGGCATACATATTGGCTTAAAGCGGAAACATGTGTTTTTGTTATAAATCAAATCTCTTTTTTAATAAAGTTAAATTCATTGGTCCATTGATAATTAAGGGGGGAATATTTCAACGGCTAAAATAAGACTACTGCTAAAATATGTACGTTTACAGTATGTTGACATGAACAAAACATATCAGACATGGAATAAGTACCTCACTGTAATTCCAGATACAAGGAAGTATTCATATACCTTAACACCTACACAAATCTTTTTAAAAAACAGATTTGGCATGTTTATAGCATATTTGAATCCATGGTTTGTCTGATGTTGTGGGATATTGATAGATATGTTCTGGTTTTACAGTGTATGAGATGGTGCAGTGTGCTGTAGAATGTGGCAGCCCCTGTGAACTAGACAATATCAGCTTTGGGGAATTCTGTGTACTGGTGTCGGAACTCCAAACTTACTACCTCAGGAAGTGAGTATCTGTGCTGTTAGATCATGAGATTTACTCCATAAGAGTACAAGTACTGGAATACCTGAGGAAGTGAGTATGTGTTACGTTAGACCGAGAGAAATCCTCTTTCAGGAAATGAGTATTGGAGCAAAAGACTTGCCACCTCTGGAATTTACTTGGTAGTATGTGAAATGTAAGAGCACTCACAAGGCTAACAACCTCTGGCAGTGAGGAGTATGTGTGGTGTAATTATATAAGATCACTCACAAGGCTAACAACCTCTGGCAGTGAGGAGTATGTGAGATGTAATTATATAAGATCACTCACAAGGCTAACAACCTCTGGCAGTGAGGAGTATGTGAGATGTTATTATATAAGATCACTCACAAGGCTAACAACCTCAGGAAGTGAGTATCTATGATCTAGGAGTGTTCATGACACACACTGCCAATGGTAGTAAGTATCTGTGACATCAGAACACTGGATTTACTACCTTAGGAGCAGTGAGTATATGGAGCTTCAGGTTTACTCCTTCAGGAATTGGGTGTGTATCACTATTCGTTATCAGAACACTAAAAACACTCCTCCTTCAGAAATCATGTATCTCTATGAAGTCAGAGCACAGATTTACTGCTTTAGGAATAGAGTATCTGTGGTCTCAGAGCATCAGACATGTGCCGACAGGTTTTAAGTACTGTATAACGGCATTTTTCGCTCAGTCAAATTTTTGCCCTTCGCCAGAATTATCCACCTAGTGTTGATGGGTGTATTTAGGCATGCAGGAAAAGCAAAAATTAAACTGCAGTAAAAAAAAAACACGGTATACAGTATATGTTTATCAGTGCATTCAGACTTATTCCTTTAGAAATGAAGTGTATACAATATTAAAATGCTAGACACTTCTCTTTGAAATGAGTATATCTGTGATGTCAGCATTGGATCTAGGTAACCGTGATGTCTATAACAGGCTTGCTACCTTTGTGAGTGAATGATTGTGATATCAGAGCAGCGTATCGTTGTAAAAAGCATGTACCCAGGTACTTGTGTACTGGTGTTGAAGACTCATTGCCATGTATATTCCTTGACTCACTGATCTGTGTTTTAGACCAGTGACACCTCAACCACGGTCCATGTACAGAGAGAGATCGTCATCCAGTCCTTGCAAACGGTGGCAGCATAGAGGTATGGTAGTCAAGAGATATAATGAGTTTGACTTAACGATCCCTGTCAGACAGGCAAAGCAATAACTACAAATTCCACTGTAATTTTTCTTACATACAGTAACCTCCTCTTAAATTCATTTTGACTATCAATGTAGCATAACAGGGCCAGCCTACTACCATTGACAAGTTAGCAGCACAGTTGGTAAGGGAGACTATATAATGATCAAAGGGCCAGGATTATAGTCCTGCTCTGGCCTCACTGCAGATTTACACTTAGAATGCTGTTGTTTTTTGTTCATTCTAACTTCTAATATTTTGCATAAAAGTTCAGCAGGGCATGGTTTTCTTATCGGGAAATAGTCATGACAAAAAAAAAAATCAAATGCATAGTCCCAATTTTTGGCAGTGGTATATATGGAGATCCTTAATGAAAGAATAATGAGGATGCAATCTAATTAAAATCATATCTTCACATCGCTCCCGTTTTCTGATGTGTCGCGTTGAATTTTAATTAGATTGATGAGGATGTTGAGGATGTTGACTGGTTATGGTTATGAGTTCAATTGAAGCATTGATAGGCTTTCTAGAGATAGACGCATTGAAATGTATATTACACATGTACTGGAAGGAATTGATTAAGATATAAGATACTGATGTGACCCAGTGATTGGATGTTGATAAGATTGACCTATTGGATGCTGCATTAAATGCTGGGGTTCGATTCCTCGATCAGACGTGAAAAGGTATGGGGTCACCTGCTTGACCACGTGGGTTTTCTTCGGGTACTCTGGTTTCCTCCTGCAATAGAACCTGTGCAAGCTAAAATCCGGACCAACAAGAGTGATTGATATAAGCTGAAAAAACTTGTTTCATAATTGTTGTAAAATAAAGAAAGTTTACATTAAATGCTGTGTATCTTGCTCACTACTTTCCTTTTACTTCACAAGTTTTGAAGCATTTGGTTCAATGTTACAGCACACTAAGACTGCCAGTTTATGTTGGGATGCTGGAATGGGTATTACCTTTTGGACGTGTTGATGTCTACGTTATGATTGAAGTTAACACCAGTAAAGTAGACAAGTGTATGACCATTGTTCACTTGTTTTCCTATGCTGTGTACATTTACTTGTTATAGTGTTCCTCGGCGGATCTTGTAACCCTACAAGCTGGCGACAGGATACAGCTATCCCATTCTTCAAACAGCATGGCATCACCTTCTACAACCCAGTAAGTTAGACACCATCAACTACACCGGGGTTAATCACTTCTCTGGTTGTGCTTTGGTCAAATTTCAATGAGGTTATTTACATCTCACTAGACTCACTTGTACAACTTGTAGATAAAATTACCAACTGGAAATGTTGTAAGGAGAGCATACCTCAACATTTACATCCGGTTGGAATCCGTTGGATTAGCTCCGTCATCCAGTGGAGAAATCAAGACCAGTCACATTGTAATGTCAAATTCCATTCGGTAGCTTGTCTTCACCATTGAGTTGATAACAAAAATCCCAACTAAAGCACAGTTAAAATGAAAGTATGTATGTGACGGCGTTATGCTGATTTATATTTTCGCTGTTACAGCAAGTGCAAAGCTGGAGGGAAGAGTTGGTGGAGCTGGAAGCTCGGGCAAAACAGGTGAGATATTATCACAGTGTATTCCGGGCTATGAAATATTTACTGCATTCCTGGTATATGGAGACACCGTCACTCGCATTAGTAGTGTTATAGAAATAGACAAAACCTGACATTTAGGATCATCCACACTATCCATGATTCCCACCGATATGAAAACAGTGAACACTTTACCAAAGCCTAATATATATATAAAAGAAGTTCAATACAAATTTATTTTTTCATTGTATTGACATAAAAAGAAGTGGAGCCGATATATATGTTGTTCACATACCTATTTCTCTAAAAATAATTGATTTTCAAAAAATAAATCTTTAGCTTTTCAAAATATGTTCTTCGGATTTATCTCAAATAATTTGGGGAACCTACTGTGAAATCAGATATTTTCGTGGGGCCAAATTTCGTGGCTTCCCAACAAAACACCATTTCATGGGTACATGAATTTGTGGATTACCCGGTACAAGTTCTCAATCAATGGAGAATTGCTTTATATCAAACTTATCATTAGTTTGTTGACCTCTGAATTTGTCGATGAAGATTACCTGCAAATCAGCGGAATTAAAAACGCCCATGGAAATTAGTGATTTCACAATAAATGAAACATTGCTTTCTAGGTCAACAAAGTTGCTCAGTGACTACAGAAACAAAATATGGAATTAGTATACAGAGATGGTCTTCCATCATTTATATTAATATCAGTTAGATTTGTTTTCTTTTAGAATGTTTCTTTTTATTTCCAGGGAGCAGACATTTTGTTTTTCGTGATTGATAACCAGACCAGGGCTATAACCTCCATGATAGAGACTGCCTATCTTGTGGGTAAGTTCAGACCGTGAGACGGTCTACCTTTATAACCTCCATGATTGAGACTGTCTATCTTGTGGGTAAGTTCAGACGGTCTACCTTTATAACCTCCATGATTGAGACTGCCTATCTTGTGGGTAAGTTCAGACGGTCAACCTTTATAACCTCCATCATAGAGACTGCCTATCTGGCGGGTAAGTTCAGAAGGTCTACCTTTATAACCTCCATGATAGAGACTGCCTATCTTGTTGGTAAGTTCAGACGGTCAACCTTTATAACCTCTATCATAGAGACTGCCTATCTGGCGGGTAAGTTCAGACGGTCTACCTTTATAACCTCCATGATAAAGACTGCCTATCTTGTGGGTAAGTTCAGACAGTCTACCTTTATAACCTCCATGATAGAGACTGCCTATCTTGTGGGTAAGTTCAGACAGTCTACCTTTATAACCTCCATCATAGAGACTGCCTATCTGGTGGGTAAGTTCAGAAGGTCTACCTTTATAACCTCCATGATTGAGACTGCCTATCTTGTTGGTAAGTTCAGACGGTCAACCTTTATAACCTCCATGATAGAGACTGCCTATCTGGCGGGTAATTTCAGAAGGTCTACCTTTATAACCTCCATGATAGAGACTGCCTATCTTATGGGTAAGTTCAGAAGGTCTACCTTTTCAACCTCCATGATAAAGACTACCTATCTTGTGGGTAAGTTCAGAAGTTCTCCCTTTATAATCTCCATGATTGAGACTGCCTATCTTGTGGGTAAGTCAGACAGTCTTCCTTTATAACCTCCATGATAGAGACTGCCTATCTGACGGGTAATTTCAGAAGGTCTACCTTTATAACCTCCATGATAGAGACTGCCTATCTTGTGGGTAAGTTCAGAAGGTCTACCTTTTCAACCTCCATGATAAAGACTACCTATCTTGTGGGTAAGTTCAGAAGTTCTACCTTTATAATCTCCATGATTGAGACTGCCTATCTTGTGGGTAAGTTCAGACGGTCTACCTTTATAACCTCCATGATTGAGACTGCCTATCTTGTGGGTAAGTTCAGAAGTTCTACCTTTATAATCTCCATGATAGAGACTGCCTATCTTGTGGGTAAGTTCAGAAGGTCTACCTTTTGGGTACCGGTCAGCTTAGATGGTTTACCATGCAGATAATAATTTCAGACATCTTATACATTGGAAGTTCTCTTTAAGGATCCCTGGTCCCACTGCGCTGTGGTTTTTATAAATACAGTAACATTCCATTGACCGGTAGCTCAACTGGTTAGAGCAATAGTATAACAATCTGAAGTCAAGTGTTTGAATCCCAGCCTAGCCCCGCTGAAGTTCTTCCACCCCGAAGACTGTTGTTGATTATATTTTGTTTATTTCATCTTAATTGCTTCTCATGAAAGTCCTGCAATGTACAGTGTTCTTTTCAGAAATGCTTTATCAAAACTATAGTCATGCCGGGAAAAAAACAGTTTCTACCACTTGTTTACATTTTTGTGCGATGGTGCGAGGATCCTTTATTGAATGAACTTGTTGGCAACTGCTTTATTTATGAAATATTTCGAATTGATTTTTTCTGTTTTAATTATTCTTCTATTTGATATTTTGCAGCCACCCGGCGGCAAGTGATTGCTATTATACATGAATATGACAAGAACATAAAGATCTGTGGGGAGGAGGTCCCAAACAGGTAGGTGTAGTGTGTCCTCTGTAGTGTTGCAGTGTCAGCTTTGCCAATTACCAGTTTCATTTTGTAATAAAATAACACGTTTTTATATATGTAACAAGTTTTATCTCTGATCACAGTGAGGTGAAGGACCTGTTGAGAGGCAGACAGATACTGGTGGATTTAGTCGAAAGAAACAGCATACCAGTGTTTACAAGCCTTAACACAGCCCTTACCTGTACCCAGACTGCACTAGACAAGGTAGGCTATAATATAATAACGCAGCCCTTACCTGTACCCAGACTGCACTAGACAAGGTAGGCTATAATATATAATAACACAGCCATTCCCTGTACTAGACAAGGTAGACTTTAATATAATAACACGGCCATTACCTGTACTCGGACTGTACTGGACAAGGGAGGCTACAATATAATAACACAGCCATTACCTGTACCCAGACTGTACTAGACAAGGTAGGCTATAATATAATAACACGGTCATTACCTGTACTCGGACTGTACTGGACAAGGTAGGCTACAATATAATAACACAGCCATTACCTGTACCCGGACTGTACTAGACAAGGTAGGCTACAATATATAATAACACAGCCATTACCTGTACTAGACAAGGTAGACTATAATATAATAACACAGCCCTTACCTGTACCCGGACTGTACTAGACAAGGTAGACTATAATATAATAACACGGCCATTACCTGTACCCGGACTGTACTAGACAAGGTAGACTATAATATAATAACACGGCC